CAAAAATCCTACGATAAGTCGTAAGGATGACATGTTCGTTACAAGTCCCCCATGTAAATCAGCATTAATATATAGCAAGCATGATTTCATTTCCAAGTTACCTTTGTAGATGAGTTTAGCACCAGAAGGACACGTGGTTTTCCCCCAACGTATGTACTGAACACCACCACTTTTAGGACCAGGATGGCCCCTTAGTCCTTGAGCACCACGTGGACCTTGTCTGCCAGGACTTCCTAAAGAGTACAACGATTTTTAAGAATGGAGATTTTAAAAAATCTTACTTTAAAAATTGGTAAGGGTTCTCCATTACCTGTTTTGTCTGTTTTGAAAATAACCCTAGAAGGTACCCATACATAACTGACGTATTGACTTCAACCCAGGACAAGCTGATAGTTTTAGGTATAACAAAATGAATGCAATACCAGCGTGATGATGGTTTTGTAATAAAACCGAAATATCACTTACTTTTCTAATTCTATTCGATGCATGTTGAATATCAACTAGGAATATGAATATATTCGTTCGGGTATTTACATACATTTTGTATTGAATTCAGATCGTGCAAGATACTAACATACTACATAATTTTTTGTTAAATGACTTAAATTGAATTAAAAAGACTACTTTGATTTTCGGACAAGTTTCAAAAGAATGAATATTCTATTTCATTCTCAACTTATTCCAAATCTTCTGTGTGCGAAAAGTTTGAAAACTGACCATAAAATGTGCAGAGGTGTTAGTACGAAAACATATTGGAGTACTTGAGGATCTCATTTTCGTCGGGCTTTCCTGAGGACTGTAAATGCCATTCGCATGCAGTCAAACGGTTGAGTAATGGTATAACGAATTATTTTTCAGTGATTTCGTTGACTGGGCTCAGTGACTGACAAGACCAAAACAATTACCCAAAAGCTGGACTTACTTTAGGATCGTAGGGTGCATGATAGTGTAGGGGTACCCATACCTCAGACCAATATCAGAGACCTCGCCCTCACATATCTTTTAAGTATAATTATAAATGCTGTGCCATGTAGCTCAGTGCTTATATAAAACTGTATTTTATCCGGAAATCAAAGGACTACTTGAAATTACTGGTACTAGTTTTACTTTTGATGACATTGTTTCCATACCTCTTAATCCTGGCAAACCAACTCCATTTTTCCCGGATGCACCATCTTTTCCTGGAAAACCATTTTTACCCTCTTTTCCTGGCAGACCATTTTTGCCATCTCTTCCTGGCAGACCATTTTTACCATCTCTTCCTGGCAGACCAACTCCATCCTTACCAGGTGTACCATCCTTACCATCTTTTCCTGTTGAATGATATGAAGTGGTTTATTGATAGCAGACAAGAGACAATCAGAGTCATAATATTTTAAAACAAAACGCCAAAGATCTTATACTGTTTTACATTATAATGTTAAATTACCTGGTTTACCCGGTGCACCATCCTTACAGCAGCCTAAAAATTGAGTTACAAATTCACGTTAAGATGGTTTTGGTGTCAAAACGCGAAACGGAAGCGAAGGAGACTACGAAAGTATCAGATTGACAGCTAAATGGGTTTTGGAAACACCGAAAAAAGATAACAAAAACTGGAATCTGCTATAAATTTCACTTCAACTAATTACTTTGTCTGAAAAAAATACCTAAGTACTGAATTCTTAAAGTTTAAATGCGCGCACTTAAAGCATGCAAGCCAAAGTTTTATTTTACAGGAAAATCAGTTTTACCTTGAAGTGATCGTGATTCTAGAACTTTTATCCTATAAAATAAAACAAACTTTCTTTAACAATAAATTGACATCAGATTTAAATTAGAATAARTATACATTATTTAAACGTTTTTAATGGTAAAACAAACACAAGTGCTAGAATAATGAATAATGTACACTCTTCAAAATAAGTATCCGCGAGCGCGATAGCTCATCGATTGTTTACAACAAATCGATCAAAAAGTCGTGTTTAATATCTTATATGACTGATATGAATTTTATCTCAGTTTATACAGAAGTGATTTTCTCTTTCTGAATAATTTTCCTACCTTTCATTTAAAGCTTTCACAACATCGCTCAGTGCCTGTAAGTTTTGGTTTGTCTTGTTCAAGGTGCCTCGTTTCACTACGCCGTTATGCTCGTCATCTGCACCGTCAACACCCCAAAACATGGCAAGTACCACCACGATAAAGATGGCTTTGAACAGCATTTTATCACCAGAAAACGTTCACTTATAACTGTAGCAAGAATAATTTCAGCCGTTGGCTAGATTGTTATTGSAACTACCAATGCGGAAAAGTTGTGAGGCTCAAGTGACTGAGTAAACGAGAAAATTCGTGAAGGAAACTGTAGTGGTCATTATAATATCAGAGTGTCAAAACGTCACTTCGTTAAATCATAGCTAATARAACAAATAAACTAATTGCCTTCAGTTTTCTCTTATTTTTATTACCAAATGTGTTTATTTTAACGTTTTGACGTCTTCGTTATTTACAAATTTGTAAATAGGTAACCTAGATTAATACCAACCGAATAGTATATAGTTGTATTGCAATAATTAGGTCTTATCATATGAACATTTACTTTGAAACCTAACTAGACCCTGTATGCAGGGTTGACACGTACCCTTTGTTGTGCATGATGTTGTGAGATCATTAGTAAATGAGGCCTTAAACCTTTTTTTTGCACATCTACATTAAAACTCGACATATCCATTGCAGATGTTTGAATAGCCATGAAATTCATAAGCATTTTCTAAAGAGTTGTATTGATATTCAATCATTATATTAAATGTTGCTTCACGAGTAGTAAGCGTGTGTTGATCTCTGTATTTGAGATCTCCTCGTCATCATAATTCAACATACCCTTGGTCCGAACACCCAGACAAGTAATGAGTGACAGATTTTGGTCGTAAACCTTCATGTTCTGTCCCATGACAATATTCATCAAAATGGCGGACGAAACACTGTGCAGAACGAGTTGAAAATGGAGCGAAAGGGATTATCGACAGGCTATAGCGTTCGGAATGCACAACGTAATGTGATTGGCTACCGGATATATAATTCACAATGTGATTGGCTACGAAGATGTACCGAAGCCAAACTTTCGACATTGTGAAAAAAAAACTGACGAAAAAAAAAAACAAGAAAGTAGCAGCATTTTACTACACGTCCCCTGCATAGCAGAAAAATGAAGACAGTTTTTCTTCTCATTTCTGCTCAGAGCTATTAATATTATCAAATTGAATTCTTTACGTTTTAAGGTAAGGAACACAAATTCAAAAAAATCGCGAGCAATGCAGTGCGCGCGGGCTACCAAGGAGAGTCTAGACCGGAGAATAGACGATATTAACCAATCAAATCATAGCTCCATTTCCTCGCGCCCAGGATCCCATTTGTAAACACGGTCATATAATGTTTCAAAAGTACATTTCAACAAATTAATAGAGACCCAATGAAAACAAAACCTAGTAACCGATGAGGAAAACCCTGCTGCTAAATGACATGCATGAAATTCTCATATCATAGCAATCCKTCAGTTTCAATCATCAGTCAGATGTACCCCCTTTTTAAGGGTTTGGCTTGGCATACTTTCACGCATGCTTATTGATTCGAGCTTAGCATTAATTTACAGTCCCACATGTGTGTTTCATAGTTATTGGCATAAAATTATCAATACAGCCAATGTTTTGCAAAAAAAATTACATTCACTGGAAATGACTAACCTTTTTTCGTTTCTCTTAATATCACCCATTGTTGAATTGTTATGCATCACATCTCTTTCCCTGGRATCCCTGCAAGTTTTATCCCCAGTCTYCGATGGAAACTACCRCAGATAYCTCAAAGGCCTTAGTACCTACATTGATTTAACATAAAGTTAGTCTTTCAGAATGTCTAAGCACTGGAAACAAAAGATAATAGATAATAGGTTTAACAATGAGATCTCAAATTGCATTGCAACGCATATATTCATGAGCAACGAGTCCTTTGTCACAGTTTAAAAACGAAGTAGTGCTCCTCTCGACGACCCTTCCAACCGACCCGTTTAGCGATCTGAACTTCCCACTCAAAGCTTATATTCTTCACTGCTCGCACCGTCCACCCTGGCGCGATTTTGTACCCAGGCATATATGTATTAATCACCTTTTTTGACATGTCGTCCTTGTTCTCTTTGTAATAACTACATAGTGGCGAAGCGTACAAAGCATTAATAACTCAAAACAGAATAATACCTTTGATGAGCAGGTTCTTTAATTATCTTTTACGTTCCTACATATTTTTTCATTACTTTTATATTGATAATTTTAACTGATTGCTTATATCAATGTACCATTTTGACATATGAACTGAGCATGTCACTACTTGGTACACACAGCGCATGTCAGTTCTCGGCCTTCTACGTAAGGAAGACAAGGCAGAGAGCCACACCTTCCTTGGACACCGTACAACAACGCGTCGTTATGATCATGAATGCTTCCTTTGACGGCCTCTGGATTACGATCAACGCAAATGAATCCTTTCTGGTTTTTGTGATCACGATGCCCTGCCATTAGGTATCCCCAGTACTCCCTGGACCATCCCGCGGGACACTCGTATGTTGCCGGGATCATCAGTTCAGTGTTACGATTTGGAACAAAGCAYACAGCACAAGGGACATCGCGGTCGTCAAGGTTATGAATGTTGAATGGATTTGGAGTGTTTGAATTAACATGATATTCTGCTCCATACATGTATGCTGAATATTTTTCGAGGACATTTGTGTAACTCCTGTACTTTGGGGACTCAGTCAGACATACATAGTTGGAGCCTCCGCCTTGGTGGTTGTACCATTCTCCTCCTACACGACCTGAAGGGAAAAAGGGCTATCGGTAAATACCAATAAACGCTGCATGAACTCCAAAACTAGCGCGCTTTTATTGTACATATTGTTGGACTTCCTTTTCCAAGTTACCTTTGTATACAAGGTTAGCATCAGAAGGACACGAGGTCCTTCCCCAGCGTATGTACTGAACACCACCACTTTTAGGACCAGGATGGCCCCTTGGTCCCTGATCACCACGTGGACCTTGTGAACCAGGACTTCCTGAACATAAAAAAATAATAATACACTTAATAAGATATCATCAATGCGCTTATTAACATCTATCGAATCATGGTAGTATACCTTGTGGTCCTGGGTCACCAACACGACCATCTCGTCCATCTCTCCCTGCAAGTATAGGAAAAAATGAGAAGTGAAATTTTAATTCTAGCTTATATAAGACAATGTAATACTCCATTTTTCAGTTCCAAGCGCCATCTTGAAAGGCAGCCGCGCCTTTGCATCAAAGCGAGACAGGAGTTGAGCCTGCAGTGTTAGATACCTTTTGTTCACACGTAAGACAATTATTCACAGGTATCTATTATTGAAATGACTGTTTTTGTAAGCAAATATGTTTTTTAAATAAAAATACAAAAATATATTTAAATTGAGCACATAATTGAAGTAGATCAGCTATCAATATTCAAATTACCACACGAAGCCATAACCATAACCTTTACCAATGAGCTATTCCATATTGACAAAAGTTATCAAAAAAATTTCCATTCCCTTTCGATTTTTTAGAATAATGTTATCTGAGTTTTATGATAAATATAATAAACAGACATCTCTCATTTTCATATGAATTGATATTATAATTAATATTTTAATTAAAATTAAAATTAATTAATTGATAATTAAAATTTTACATTATACCTCTTAATCCAGGAKGACCATCTTTTCCTGGAATACCATCACGACCATCCTTTCCTGGAAAAAGCAGAACCGCGAGAATAAATATTTTTTTTCAGWCTGCATAGTAAGATTGAATTTCCCTATCGCACAATACGTCACACCAAAACATCTTATGGTCGCAAGAGGGGATCAGAGTGGCTGCATAACAAATAAAATGTAGATGAACTATTATTGATATTAAATAAATGAATCTCACCTGGACGTAATTCCAACACTTTTATTCTAARATATGAACAACAAAATTCAACACTTGATTTACTTAGAGTAACATGGTATCAAAAAGGCCTGGGGGAAGCGGTAATGCCCTCTTAAACATTTTGTGGGGGACATTTAATAATTAATAATTACCCTTTAAGTCTGTTTTAATCTTCTCAATCGTCATTTATATTGAATTATCATTTTTAACCGGGAAATTTAAAACTTGAGGAAAAACCGGGGAGGGGGACAAATCAGGCAAAGAAATCATAGAAAACCTGTTAATACGCACGGTTGTTTGTTTGAAAATAATATAAAATAAACCCTAGCCTCAAAACATTTGTAATAAATAAAGGATATTGCATGGGCGCGCGAAAATATGAATTTTCTCTTCTCGTGTTGAAAATCTCTCACTCGTTCGCTACGCTCATTCGTGAGAAGATAAAAACCGTATCTCCGCGCGCCCATGCAATATCCTCTATTTATTCAGCAGAGATCCTATCAACGCAAACACTCTGTGTACAAATACGACAATTTTTGGCGATGTCTGAAACTAGAAGCAGAATCCCTATTGGTGTTGGTACTAAAATGCGCGTAATTGCGAATTCATTTCCAAAGCCATCGTAAAGATGACGCAGCTGTACAGAAAAAAACACCTTTAACAAATATTTCTTACTTCTCATAGCGTAAAATCCTACAAATTCTAAATAGATAGTTCGATACTAGATACCTTTTCCTATATATATCTTGCTACAAAAAGTTTGGTGTTATTCGAATTTAAGTATGAACATAGCAATAATGCGACCTAATCCTGGTTTGGGATGATAGACAAGTTCTTCAAAGCTAGTGGCCGCAAAAGTAAACTTTTAGAGAAAATAGGAAAATATTTCGATATTCTCAAATAACCTAATATTAGTTAAGTCAAGGAAATGTTGACCGAAGGAAGTGCAGTCTCTAATAACATTTTCTGAATAAATGTAGACAACTTATTAGAAATAACATATCATCATTGGATCTTTAAATATATTTTCCTTGTTGGCTTGAAAATCTAATTTCTAAATGGAAGTCAATTACGAGTAGATATTTATAAAGCTATGGAATGCCTCTGGCATAAAACTACAGCAATCACGAAGTTAAAATTATCAATAAAGCTGATGAAATGTTATCCAAAATCATATTATCTATATATATATATATATATATATATATTTGTTTTGTTTTACAATGGTGAAATTCTATAAATATCATAGCTGTTCAGGCTATGATTTAGTTCCTGAAGTTAGTTAAATGATCTATAGGAATAACGTGATATATATATGTAATATCGAAATGTATTTAAAAATGTATCGAAATTTTCCTCTTTATCAATAGAATAAATTTATCCTTCTTCTGAAACAATTAACCTTTGTTTTAAAGCTTTCACAACATCTTTGATGACCTTCAAGTCTTGGATGATATTGTTCAAATTATTTCGTTTCTCCAAATCGTTTTGTTGATCATCTGTCCCCTCTGTCCCTTCCTTTGCATCGGCAACACAAGACATGGCTAGTATCATCACGATAAATACGGCTTCACATGACATTTTTAAGCTCAGAAAACGTTAGAAACTACGTTAATAGCCTCCTTCCCAAGTAACTCTTTTTTCCTCTATCGGACTTGATTTGTTTTCGCTCCCATTCTCCCTCTTCTGGCTTCCAAAAAAAACAGGAATCCCGTGACTCAGGCTATTCAAGCATGCTCATATGCGTTGGTAAAAGATATCGGCATGCTCTATTACACTGTCGCGCTAAATAAACACATAAATCCTTGTTCATATGGAAACTAGGCGCTCTAGGAGCGTGAAGTCGGACCACTTAGAAAATCAAAACAGCTAAAGCACCAGTCAATTGCAAGCAAGGTCCCTTGTTTAATTCCCCCGCCCTCCCCGGGGGTACGTCGAGGGCCCGGGGTTTCAATTGACTTAAGCATAAACTAGTAGCATCCTCTGCAGACATTCCTTCAGCTTTTCGGCTTTCGGTTTCCCATTATACAGATTACGGCAATATTTCTCAATATTTCCGACGAAGGTTGTCGCAGACAAAGCAAATCATGATCGAATGGTATTGTGGATATTCTGACCTTTTCCCCGATATCCATTTGTTGACTTGAATGATAATTGCGCGCACGATGCCTTTAGAATTTCTGTAAATTTTCGGCATCCCATAGAACTGTGTCCAAGAATCAATTTATGATTAAGGTCAAGGGTTGCTCCTAAGAGTACTTTGATTAAAAACAATTTTCTTGTTAAAGTGACAGTGTCAGCTCTTCAAAGTGAAGAAGCAGCACTTCATAAATTGTACTCAGTCTTAACTTTCACGGTGTTAAATCTGACAAATTACCGAGTATGAAAYATTGATTCTTCTGAACTTGTTCAAATGAGCATRCAACAAATATCATTGTAAGATGGCAGAACTATGAGATGTGTCCGTCCTGACTGGCKCATAATCATAAATTTGGTTTGTTCTTGTGATTGTACTTATGCTTATGTTGTCTAAYTTCCTAGTGAGGACAATCTTATGTTTGTCTTTATATTAGTATTCATGGTCTATTGTGCTTGCTTATGTCGCAAGTACTGCTTATGTTTGTGCTTATGTTTATGTTAAAAATAAGGCATTAAAACGCTTAAAAGCAAAGCTTAATAATACTGAGGATTGTGACGTTAATGGTTTCGATGAGTTTTTATCCAAGACGAGTCTTTTRTATCAGTAAGAATTACGACCTATCATCACTGATCATCCTATATGACCATATATCAAAATTTCCTGAATTGATGGTTTTCAATCATTCCCATGAGAGTGAGCAAAACAAAAAGGTCCACCAGTCACGGTGGTAGTTTTCTTTTGTCAGGTCCACCAGCAATGGATGGCGTCTTTTGTTCAACTGTCTCTCCTGGGAATGGTTGATAACCAAGAATTCAGTTTGCATTCAAGGTCGCATAAACAATAACAATGAAATACGTCCAGAAACTAGTAAAATCTTATTAAATCTAATTAAATTAAATAAAATTTATAATTAAAGCTGACGAAAGAGTTATTGTTTTTGTCGATTTCCACTGTTTATCGACAGTTTCCATAGCAACTAAAATTTCATCAAAGGATGCACGTAACGAAGACGTAACGGGTCATCGGATTTTTTTCTGATTTCAACAAGAACATTCAAATCAACTCTTCAAGGACAAAAAACCTAATTCTTGGGCAAATTTCGAGTGATTTAACACAAATATCAACCGTCGATTCGTGCCACAAGTAAGTGCAATCATGCTCGTAATGTTTATATTGAAAAAATCATAATATTTAGTATTTCCGAAGGTTGACAAAGTCAGAACTTCAGAAACTAGAGTAAACTTCATATAGGTTTGGGAGTTAGAAGACAGTTATGAATTAGTAAAAAATACCTGTTAAGCGACCAAGTTTTTACTGGGACAATAAAAACATAAAGTAAATGAGTCATCCTTAGGATATAAGATATGAACATAATTAAAAAAAGAGGCAGTCATAACCCTAGACATAAGCAACCAAACCACAAAGGAAATAAACAAAGACAATTATAATAACGTAACTGCTGTCTTCTTAAAGTTCCATTGGGAAAATGTTTTTTTCTGATTTTTTTTAATGTTTGAAGTGTGAAAACCTCTTCTTTGAAATGATGTTTTTAATGCCCACGCGTTCAAGATCGTTTGAAAACAGGAATGTGAAATCAAGAAACTGAATAAAAAAGGGCTCGTCAAAACAAAATATATATAACTGATATTATTATTATAGTTGTTATTAATTCTTATCACTCTAGAGATCTTGTTGTAAGATCTATTTTTTTATACAATTCAGCTGGGGCTTAAATTAATAAATTGAATGATCAACATGCTCAACATCTTCAGGATTAATTAAATGAAACATAACAATGGTAATGTTATGAAAAAGCTTTTAAGAGCGCGAAATAAATAACAAGGAAGCAGAAGAAAAATCCATAATTGATTATACACTGCCTGAACTCCTATTAATTATTCTTTTATAYCACCTTTATATACCTTTAATTTTCTCAATCGTTTTCGCGAAAAATGTGGGATGATATTGTAGAAAAAGCTAGGCAGGATAAATTTACACATAATCATTTGAATGTTGCATGTTTCGTGCATGAAATTCACGTTTTTCCCTAATATATATTGAATGGGAAAAGTGCTTGAAGTGTTGTTCAAAGGAAAATATAATAGAGATATTCTCAGCTTAGTGTTTATTGTCATGACAAATATTAACTGGAACTGTAAAAGGTTTTGTTAAAAATGAAACAGATAATCCTTCGTTTTTTTTTTTTTGTATTTTAAGCAAACACACCCTTAAACTGAGTTATTGTTTTTTGGGTGTGTGTGTGTGAATTATATTTTATTTCAATAACTATATAAAGAGATAAGATGAAGTACAAATTTTCAGCTGAGGAAATAAAGACGTAATCTTATCAWTGATAAGACTTGATGTTATTCATTAGCGAACGAAGCACAAGTGATAGATTAACACTCCAAAGTAAGTAGATTATGCAGTAATCATTTGGTCAAGAAGTCCAATTAGTACTTTTAGATGGAAATTAAGATATCAAATCAGAGTAAAAAGGTAGGGAGTGTTTGTGCTACCTTCAAAGGAAATATTATTTAATATTTGACTGAAACAGGTTTAGATATTTAC